TGCATGCAACAAAAGTAAATTATGCGATATATTTTTCATAATTATGCACGTAATTCTGCACCCAAAAATTATATTTATGCGTGATTGTGCTGATGAAATGCGCAGTTTTATATCTAGCTTCGTATGAAATCCGTCTTTCGGAACACTTCGGAGCTTACCTCAATTTGTTTCTCAACCTTGCTCTCGTTATTCGGCAAATTTTGGAGCAGCAATTAGATCCAATTATGCAATAATTGCAGTTATGCAGCAAATCTATCCTTTATGCGGTTTTATGTCTCGGGATCCAGTGATTGGATTTGGAAAAATTCCGCATATAATTTTGTCCGCCTGCGCAGTGCCCATCCTCCATTCCTAATGACGCCAAAAGGAAAACCAGACTCCAAGCTTTCAAGTTTTTTATTATTTATCGGATTCGGCCCTGATCAAAGAATTATAAGTAAATTTAATTATATATAATAACATATAGCTGGGTCCAGTAAATAATAAATAATAACCGGAGTCCGGCTTTTTCCTTAGCATCATTCATACGGAAAATCACTTAGTCTAGTATCTCGGGTACTATATAATTAAACAAATGTTTTTGTCGTATAGAAGTGTTTTAAAACCTATTTCCTATAGAATAAAGTAAATGAAGTATTGTGTCAAGTTAAAGTTTTTACTAACAAACCTTTTTAATAAACATAAACTCATAAATTTTTATATGATAATTATTATTTGAACTATGTTCAATAAAGAATAAAATACTGTAAAAAAGGTCATTATACCATTTATATATATATTTAAACATAAATGATTAGTATACAAGGAGAATAGAAAAACCCCAAAATTTTTTGTATTGTGACCAATTATTTAGCCCTGGTCTGTTTTAGGAGATTTTACTATCAAAATGACAGGTTTCTAACGAGTATAAAATCGTTAAAATCTAATCACGAAATCCCGAGATTTACTAATAATTTTTTAAATAAAACAAATCTACATCGATCTTGGTGGTAAAACAAATCTACATCGATCTTGAGTGGTAAAATTATCAAAACCGAACAATAGATCAAAAGTTATTAATTGTTAAAGATCCTATATATTTTTAACAAGTTTGAATATGCGCGAAAATTTACATTTTGTTTAAATGATGATATCCCATGATCTAACAGTCAGAATTGGATGATTTTTGCACCATTAAAGTTTCTTTAAATGATGAATTAAATGACATAAAAATCATCTAATTCTAATCACTAGATCTTAAGATATTAAGATTGACCCATCTCTCTTAGATTATTGGTTTATATTTATGTTTTTTTTTTTTCATTATTAATCGGTAATGCGTCATTTAAATCAAATACTGTATTAAATATTCATATCTCAACTATTTTTTAATAAAATAAACTAATTCGTATAAAGTATATTAAACTCAAAGAATTTAATACGTAAAATAATAATGTTTTGGATAAACCTCTAAATTAGTTGACCGAATTGACGCTCGTCTGAAGTTGTATCACCCAAAATTTGGCAATCTTCTTGCATGCATTTATTAATAATTCCAGGCAAGTACACACTATTTCAAGGTATAATTATAGAACCTGACTAAAAAAAAAAACAGTATCTGTAATAACTAGGGTGGGGAGGCATGGTTGAATTTTTTTGAGAATGTCCTAGGCATGCTCTGGGCATTGCTTAAGGCTTGCCTGTGAGCATGATTAAAATTTTTTTTCCATACCCCATAACAATCGCCGTCGGTTATAACTAGGTGTGATAATTGCAGTAACACGTAACTGACATTAACTAAATTACTAATCCCAACATTAACAAATCACAGCCGTAATTTTATTATATTTTGAAATTGTTACATCGGGCATTTTTACTTAATGAATTCATTAGTAAAGTTTTTAGTGATGGTGTTACGACCAGGGGAGA